CCCTCCGTTTTGTGGCTCAACTTTTGCATTGCTTCATTAGACACAATATTCCCACAACTACCAAGCATCAATGACAATACGACATACCTTATCCCGAATGGTGTAGGTAAACTAAAAGGTGTTACTCCTAAGCCAATCATCCTCGGTGTACCTTAAGAGTTAAGTAAGACATCCTTAAAACCAGGTGTCATTCCTTTATCTCCCATAACAATCTCCTCCTTCGAGGTACCTCTAAGAAGCATACTCTTCCATATCGGTAAGAAGCACCTTATTTCTTGCTTTTTGACACTCCAATTGCCTATGGCTAATTTCATCGCAACTGAAGCATTCTACGTGAGTAGTGGTTGCTCTGCTAGGTCGTCCAACAACTAGAATGTTTCGACCTCTCGTTACCATTGCCTCCTCGCTCGACCTACACTATCGCCACCCACTATTCAACCCGCTACTACCACTACTCGCCTCCCATACTCGAAAGGGTTAATGAAGCTGCTTAAATGGTGCAACTGCTTCCCAACCAATAGCTCTTTTTGAAAAGTTATTGAAAGACACATCGAATCAAACATATTAACGGAGTCTTTAATATGTGGTTTCAATCCCCTAATATACCTCGCCACCAATTGATCCTTTGTCTCTTACAATTTGTTTCGGACTAACAATTAGTAAAACTCCATGGTATAATCATCTATTGACCGAGCTCCCCGTCTCAAATCCCGTAATTCGTTGGTACATCATCCTCTAAAAATTGTAGCGTAAGAAGGCGAGTACATATGTGTTTCTTTATCTTTTCCTAAGACGTAATTTTAGGCTTACCCATCCGATTTACGGTTAGCTTCAACTCGCTCCTACTAACCAATCGCCTTCTTTCTAAACCCGGTGGCTATTAAGGGCACCCGTTTATCCTTAAGAACATCCTTAAACTCTAGAATCTCCTCCACTATCGATAGCCAATCTAAAAACTCCTCTATCTAGAGGGTGACATGAAATTTGAGAATCTCCATCCTCATACTACTCGCCCACCTCTTCTCGTCGGGGTCCCTCATGGGAACTCAATGCCTTACGAATGGGACGTTCTCATCGTCCTCATCATCTTCATGGTCGGTTTCGATGCCTTCCAATGGTGACTTCGGTTCTAATTCTTAGGGCCTCTGCCCATGTTCATCGTCAATGAACCCATCTCGTTGGGCCAACGCCCCTAGCCGTTGTATCAACTATTGTAGGGACTACTCTATCCTATCATTCAGCTGCTCAACTCACTCGTTCACACAACATCGGTGTGCTCATATAGCTCATCCACATCTCACTCTCGCTCGTTGTTGTCCGCTTGGTGGCATGGTCAAGAAATCGATATCCGGGCTCTAATACCAATTGACGTAGCGAAAACTTGAAAGAAAGAATGATAAATACCATTGATTTGATATTTAGATGTCGATCTACTATAATCCGTTGATTTGCACACAAATACCAGCAAATAAGCTTCAATTTTGTTGATTCAAAGATTGCCAACAATTGAAAAAAATTGAGATACTCTCTCACAAAAGTTTATTAATCAAGCAAAAGTAGCATTTTTCAGCCTAAACGTCTTACATAAATAGTAAATTTTAGGTCAAAATTCTAAAACAATTTGAAAATGAAACAAACACTAAAAATTTGAAATTAAGTAAGAAAGATCCTAAAAACACTGCAATCTGTACGGAAAAATAGTAAATTGATGATTTGATAGCCTAAACGACATTGTTTTGTGAAAATAACACGTACATCATAGGCAAAGCCCATGAATTTTGATCGTTGGCCCGTTTTGCCTCAAACTAGGTCCAAAAACCCTAAAAATCCCATCTCCCATTACTATACCCTATCGTGCTTGCTCCATAAAATCCAAAGCCTTTTGGTCAACATCAAAAATTGAATTAAACTAAATATCATTTCGGTTAGCGTTTGGTTTTTATCTTTAAAAAGTTTATTAACCGAAAACCGAATGAAAGTTAAACAAAGCTGAATCAAAAAACCAAATGAACACCTTATTTTTGCTTGGGGTTTTTGTTCCTCCTCTTGTACTTTGTTTTAACGGTGAGAGTATAATAAACTACCGTATATATGTTTATATTCAAGAGTGAAACCAAGCATTTGATCATTCAAACAAGTTAAGCCGGGAGAAAGACAAAGCAATACATTATCATTAATGGTAAAAATAATAAAACATGTCAAATCTCCTACGAACATCATCTTAAGCTAATAATAACGACATTTCATATCGATGGGTTGAAGAGAATAGCATGTTGAGGTATACTTGCTTGAATATGAAACACAAAGTGGCGACAACATAAGTGATGATTTTAGCCGAATGTCTCTCTGTTTCTCTTTTTCTTTGTATTTTCTCTTCTTCTTTCTCTGTGTTTTTCTTCATGTTTTTTAGTAGTTTTTTTCTTCTTCTTTTTACTTACTCTCTTTGTGACAAACTCTCTCTCTCTCTCCTTGAATCTCCTTTTTTCCTCTACTTGTTTCCTCCCCCACTCTTTCTACTTTAATTTTTTTCGATCTCCGTATTTTAAATTCTCGGTTTTCTTCTTTTTTTGACAAAAAAAAAAAAAAAAGAACTCTCGACCCTTTTTTTTTCTTTTTTTCTTGCTTCTTATATAGCCAATGGAAGGACCTAGAATTTATTTGCTCCTCTCTATCTTGGTCTTCTATCCAAGGTTACAAGCCATGATCAACTTGAAGCCTTACCTTGTTGAGAAAATTGCACGCTAACATTTGCATTTTTTATTTAGGGGTTTGACCATTTTAAGCTTTTGAATTGTGGCTAGATCCAAGGAGATTTCAGGCATAGTGTGGTGAAAAGGACTTCTAAGGGAGCTTGTTTTTTGGGATAGAGGGAAAAAGGGACATGTAAGGAGCATGATTTTTAGGATAGAGGGAGAAAAGGACAAGTGAGGAGTTTGGTTTTTCGGGTAGAGGGAGAAAGGGACATATGACGAGAGGGGAAAAGAAAGAAAGAAAGAAAAAACATAAATTGTGACAAATGCTAGGTAGGGGACGATGAACGGACCCCCACCAAGAGCAAACGACACCGTTTTATAAAAAATTAAATATATCTTTCTATTTTAGCGCCTTATTTCAATTTGGTATTTATGCGTTAGTGTTTTTTTTTTTTCAATAATACCTCTGCACAATTCATTTTTTTTCCTTTTCTTTTTAATTTCATTCAATTACAATCTGGTTATCCTCAATTTCATACCTTTCTTTTTAATTTAATTCAATTACATCTAAATTAATTAATCTATTTTTTTCTCTCCTTTTCTTTTCCTTTTTTATTATTTCTTTTTATATTTTTTCTCCTTTTTTTTTAATACTATCCTACATTAAATATATCTTTCTGTTTTAGCGCCTTATTTCAATTTGGTATTTATGCGTTAGTGTTTTTTTTTTCAATAATACCTTTGCGCAATTCATTTTTTTCCTTTTCTTTTTAATTTCATTCAATTGCAATATGGTTATCCTCAATTTCATACCTTTCTTTTTAATTTAATTCAGTTACATCTAAATTAATTAATCTATTTTTTTCTCTCCTCTTCTTTTCCTTTTTTATTATTTCTTTCTATATTTTTTCTCCTTTTTTTTTAATACTATCCTAAAAATTAGTGGGATAACTTCAATGTATTTAAATCATAAAAATTTATAGAAGTATCTACAATCCAGGCAAAAATAAAACGAAAATATGCAACATGCAATTTTTTGAATTGTTAAAATTTTTGTATAAAATAATAATTTATGGTGGTTAAAAATAAGCTATGACACATGCTAATTAAATACCCATGATATGTGTTGATTGAATAAGATACGGAAAAAAGAGAGGGAGAGAGAGAGACTTAATTGCTTGTTATTATGCAATTAAGCTGTTAGAAATTCGTTGAAAAGAAAAAAAACAAACAAACAACACTTGTAAAGGCCATTTGAAAAAAAAGGAAAAAAAGAAAAGAAGAAGAACCACTTCCGTTGCCGGGACTTGAACCCGGGTCGCTCGGGTGAGAGCCGAGTATCCTAACCAACTAGACTACAACGGATTGTTGCAAAGTTGCTTGTCTAAGATTATATACCCTCTAAAGTAACTCCTCTGTTCACAACTTTTTGACGAGGAAGTTAAATTTAAAAGCAAAGAACAGGATAAAGCGGCTTGTGTGGTGCATCGAATCCTGCCCTGCCCTTCGTCTTATCCAAGTGGAAGTTTCCAAGTGAAGTTGGGCTCCGAGTGGGTGCCTACACTTAAAAGATGGGTAAACGAACACAGCTAGCTTACATAATTATGGAATTAGGTTAGTCTAGTAAATCATGAAGAACATAGGGATCGCATCCACCCTTTTCAGCAATCAGAAATAAGGTGGACGTTACAACGGTAGGTAAAGGAGCTATAGTGGTAGTCTTAACAATAAGAAGAGAAGCATCTTTTTGCCAGAACAGAAGTTCGTCCAAAGTTATTGGCACAACATATCATACAACAGCCCAGGATACAGCAGTAAAAGATCTACTCTAACTGACATGCTGTTGAGAAAATGCAAGAGCCCAGCTTAAAAATTAGCTTATCATAATGGGGAATACACACACACATTTTTTTATCATACAAATCCATGATAAATCATGACATCCCAACAAATGCATGAAAAGTAAGATGATGTTTAATAAACAGATGAACTACATTATTAATCAAATACAACTTCCGATTACAAACCTTAAAAAGCCGGCACAAATCTGAGCGACCCTCCCGTAAAATATACAAAATATGCTTGATTTATTTCCAATACAAAACAAATCCACTATCTACATGTAGAAGGGCAAGCCCATTCCTAGCATTCTCACCTCCATACCATTCCTCAAACAAATATCGGCATAATAAGAGAATTTTCTCCAACTGATGCACCTGACTGCCAACTCAACTCCGCCTCCCCTTGCCCATTAGTCAAGAGGCTGAATTAATACAACTTGCAGCAAGATCAAACCACATTTCAGACCTATTCTACTGCTTCAACCTGTTGTCGAGCCAGGTACTTTTCTCGCCGCTCTTTCTGAAGAACAAATGGTAATGAAGGAGAAGAATTATATTATGATACAAATATTATAAAAAGTGAACACTTAGTAAAATCAGACAGAATATTTGTACCCATTCATCTATTACGAGACCTTCCCCAACAACACGGGGCCCTGTGTCTGGTGGAGGTTTCTTGCGTGCTTCAAGAGCAGCCTCTGCTTCAGCCAACTGACGCTTCAGTTTCTCCATTGCCTTCGGAGCAACAATCTTAATCTCAGTTTTTTTGCTATTTATTGGGCACAAAATCAACAACTCAACACAGAACAATAAAAGTTACTTACAGGACTAAGACGCTCTGCATCTAAAAACACAACCCGCAATATGCGCTCAACTGTTACTTGATCCTTTTGTTCATCAAACTACAAAAGACAAGGTCAAGTTGGGATCAAGAAATGGAAGAGGCGTAAAAGCAGCAGAAACATCAGGAAAATTTATGAGCAGTCTCCGACAGCTCCAGATTGTCATGTTTAAATGCCCTTAATTCAAATGTACACAATTGCAATCACACTTTTCCCTGTGAAATATGACTTGGAACAATTGCCAGCTTTTCAGAAAACGTAGGAAAAAAATTGGAAACTGGACAACTCATCCCTTTTCAATACATTCATATTTGTAGTTCTTTGAAAATGATCCATAACAAAACTGCACCACTATATAGTTGTAACCCAACAACCATAACAAACCTTATAATTAAGGCTTTTGTAGGACCTAGATTCAACATCAAAGCGTGAATGAAGACTATTTAAAATCATTATCTCCAATCAAACTGAGCTATCTATATAATTAAGCATCATACACTTATTAAAATGGATAGAAAATTCAACTACTGTTCAGTGCACTTCTTAATTAGCAATGCTCATAGGTAAGACCCCCCCGCTCTTTTTTTTTTTTCAGAATTTTGTCCCTTGATATTTGCTTTGCACTCATTTGGCATCTTCAAGTATGACAATGAATAATGGACTTGCTTTATCTATCTCTATGTCATTAGTTTCATTTCCATTAATAGAAATTAAAAAAAAAAATCATTAAAGTACCCCTGTGTCATGGAATAAAAGTTTACTGAACATCTTTGAACCCCACAAGTCCATTAACATATTTGAAAACCCATTAAGTACCACAAATCCCAAAAAGCTTCCAAAATGGCATATCTGAAACCTTTTCAGGTTGATACTAAGAAAACTATGACAACAACTCAAAAAAAAAAAAAAAAAAAAAAAAAAAGGCACTAGATTTTTACATTTCAATTTATTTCAAACTTTGAAAGTGAAACAAAAACTATCAATGTGAACAGCTATTCATCAACACCGGCTATATATAATGCAGAGACCGACAGTGATATAAAAAGCACAACTCAATATGACTTACCAGTTCAGGCACATACTCCAATCCTCCCTTCACTTTCAAACTCACAATCTTGAATTTAACCTTGCTCTTCTGGTCCATTTGTTTTTCATTGTTCTCCGGTTGCTCCACAAACTTGAAAACTGTCCATCAAAATATAAAACTCAAAACAACAAATAAAAGCACCCCTGAAAACAGAAACAGAATCATCACGAGTAAATTACCCGTCGCAATAAGGCTTTCTCCTGGAGCAAGAATACCACCAGGCGGACGCATATAACAGCTCTTCGGTGCAGTTGTTTGAAACTATAAAATTACATAAAGAAACCAGTTAGATAGTTCAATCATTTTGTTGCCAATGATCACAAGTCACAACACTAACAAACATAAATTCAGGTTTTCAAAACTTTTTTTTTTTTTTTACCATCAATAAAAAAAATCCCATTAAATGTTATTAAAAATACTATATTAAAAAAAAACAACTCATAATAACAAATTAATACAGGTAGGACAACAACAAAAAAGGCATCATTCAGCGTACGTAATAGATATTTAAAACAGACAAAAATATAACTGATGTAACATTAACATTAAAATAATAAGGCATTTACACTTAAAATGCAAAACCACTAATATAAATTCCATCCATACTACTATTAAATAATGTAATTAAGCTCTGTGTTATTATTATGAATTCTAAACAAAAAATAAAATTTAATAAAAACAAACAATAATACCTTAAAAGCAACATGAGACTTGCTTGTGTTTTTTAACCTTACTGCACTTTTGACTTGCTTCCCGGGTTCATCTACCAAAAACAAAAAATAATAATTACTTAAAAAAATTACATAATAGGGAAACAAAAAAGAGTTGACAAAAGGGGAAAGTCAACGGGAAGAACATTAAAACGACAGCGTACAAGGGAAGTAGAGATTATTAGCAGGATCAAGCCGGAGCCTACGCCGAGAAGGTAAAAGCGATCGTGCAACAGAGGACACCGTTATTGGCTTCAAACCGCTACTATTAACCGCCACGTGTCGGGTACTGTTGCTGCTGCCGTTATGACTCTGGTTAAGGTTATGTGTAGACGATGAAGAGGAAGAGTCAGTTGCCGTTTGCCAAAACGGACAGAGCCTAAACAGCTTCATGTTGTGGTCGCCGTTTGTTTTATGTCGGTCAGATATTGCCATCTCTTACCGGGAATTCCACGTTGCCGGTAAGAAAAAAGATTAGCATCAGTTAGTTATGCTGTTGTTTTGTAAGAGAAAAGCGTGCCTGGTCACGAATTTTAAACACGGGTGTCGGATTTGAAATAGTTTTGTCCAAATTGGGATTTTATATTTTAGTTTTGGAGTCCGTGCTTTGCTGTGGTTGTACTTAAGGGTAAATGTGGGATTAAGTAAAAGTAGAGGGTATTTTGGTACGGAAAGTATAGGTGTGATGCTTGAGAAATGGGGAGGGGTTTTAATCCAGATGGTGAAGAGAATTAATGAAGGGAAAACTAGAACAGATAAGGTTAATGTTATGTCATTTACAGTTGTCGGCTAGGTTTGTTGGGAATTAGTTGGGCAATTCATTAGGTGAATAATGACATTCTTCTTTTGTATAAATGTTTTTTTTTTCCGAATATTTAATGGCTTGTGCGGTTTAAAATAATACTTAGAAGAGGTAATACTACATTTTATTTTGTGCACAATTTTAATTTTATAAAAAAAACATTATCCTAATAGGACGAGATTTGTTTAAACTTATAAGAGTAAGATAAAAGTTTTGTGTATAATACCTTTTACTTTGGCCAAAAGGAAAGAGAGTTTAACTCAATACTCTACCGTTATAACAACAAAGTCAACTTCATGACTTTAGATATATTCATAAAGAAAATAAAATAAAATTTTACTATTTTACTTATTTAATCACTTATATGAAAGTGGAAACTGTATTTTTCTAAATTAAAATTAAAATTTTTATTTATTAATAAATTGTACCTCAAGTGATATTTGTAACCAAAAAAAAAAAAAATTAAATCTCTTATTTAAACTTAACTATGTGTTTATGCATTTTGGTCCGATGATTAAACACCAAGCATGAGTACGAGAAAATTAAAAGAAGACAACGACATCAAAAGCTTCTCTGGTATAAGAATCTTGTAGACTTCATTTTATTCCCTTTTTATTAGGAAAAAGGAAAAACCAATTTCGTTGATAAGGTTCCTCCTTTTCTCCTTCTTTATAGTAGGGCTTTCTTTTAAGTTACCAAAAGCTATATTTCTGGGCCAGATGCCCAGTTTCTAATAATATCAAGGTCGAAATGGGCTTTTCTTAATCGCATCCAATTTAGTTGTGGCTAGTGATGACTAATGATGAAATCATTAAATCATCAGTAGCACACATCAAGGTAATTGTAATTGCAGATTGAAGAAAAATCAACCTAATTTGATGATTCTTTAGGGATGGTAACGCTAAAAAGGGATACTTTTTATAGGACAAAAAAAATAAAAATTAATTAGGCCCCCAACAAATCAAGTGTAAAAGCGTCTCAGCCTTCTCTTCTCTTCTCTTCCTCCTCTTTTCGTCAGTATTAGGGTTCATTCCCGTGGCCTTATGACTGTTAACACCAGATGCACTAATTCTATACATATTGTTGTTGGCCCTATCCATATTGCTTGGTGCAGATTCTGCCCCAACAATATTTCTCTTCTGCGCCATGGACTTGAATGCCGCTTCATACTCGCACACTCTTCTATTACTTCCCATACTTCTTCTTTATATCTCTCACTTCCTTCTCTGCTAAGCTTTTAGAGCTACTATAAAGAAGGATATATAGAAGTGATTCTTAAGGCAGTCTTAATTTGATCACTTGCCAGAAAAGGTTGTTGTATGAGTTAAAACTTGTTAGGCGTGGTCCATTTATATATGCAAGGAGAACTAGCTATGAAAGGACTTGAAACAAAAAAAAATGGGCTTGGTTCCTTGGGATTCGAGAAACTGGGTTCTTCTTTTTCTTGCCAAAAAACAATGATGAATCCCCTTAAGATTTTGATGAATTCCCTGTATTAATTGGATTTTGGAGGTGAATTATAGAAAAAGCTGTACTTTTTTCTATTTATAACTGAGCAAAAGCTAAAACTACCCTTACCGCCGAAAAAGAAAAGGAAGAAAAAAGGGATGATTTCGCCAGATTTGGGAAAGTGTGATGGTTTTGAGAAAACTGAGGTTGAACTATGGGCTTTTAGGCTTTAGCTCCCAGATTTGTGGTAGTGGTTTTTATATTCCAAGGGGTGAGGGTGGGTTAATTAGTAGCTAATGGTTGGAAATTCTGCTTACTTCAGTCTTCATTTCATTTAATTTAATGTAAGCACGTGCTTAATGGGCTTCTTTTTTCTTTTTTTGAGAGCACCCGATCTTTAGCACACAGTTACTAACGGATACGGTCTTGAGGAATGGACCGTCGGTTTTTGAAACGTCAGAAACGGCCTTGGGCTTGTAGTTTTAATCAGCGGAGTAATTAAAGACACAGTGCCATAAACGTTCTTTTTTATATATATATAAAAAAAATTGCTAATAGACTTTTTTCTTTTGGATTTCATCTAAGGAATCTGTTAATTAATATGTCAATGCATGTGAGAGGTAATTTTAGAAAATAATATAAAAATTATAAAAAAAACATTACAAAAATTTAACTTCGAATTTTTATGATTTTTTTTCCTTGAATTTTTCATCATTTTTTTAAAACAAAAAGAAACACGCTGGACTTGCATCTAAAACTTAACGGTAAGTTTCGAGGAGACCTAACAAATAGAGAAAGACTATTTGTCATTTTTCAACAAATAGGATGTCAATCGAAATAAAAAGACCGTACATGATATCTCAAAATGACTTGTAAATAAAAAGTGTCCATCCAGTTTATTCGAGAACCAACCACAATATTGTATCTATTTCTGAAAAAAAAAACTGCAGTATCGATTTTTTTCCAACTAATAATGGAAACGGGTCGACGTCAAAGACAGCAAAACATGATGTCACCACGAACGAACCTTAAGGGACGAAGCTCCTAGTGATGTAATGGAAATGATCCAACTTGATAACGGAATTCAGCATTGATGGAAAATTTTGGATTTCACATAAAAAGAAAGAACCAAAGGCTTCCTTATACTTTGATGAACAGATTTATAGATCAGTCCCATACCTTTAAAATCAGTTTCAAATAGGTTCCAGGAGTCTAAAATCTTGCACTTGAATTTGATTCTTCCAAATTAGCCCTTATTAGTTTTTTTTTTTTTCCAAAGCTAGGAATAGCCAGGGAAGATGATCCTACGCTCGACTAAGTATAATTGTTGAAGTTACTTCTTTATATAAATGTGTTCACTATTCGATAAAAACCAAATAATCGAATCGAACCGATATTTCGACGTAGTTTTTTTCTAAAGATTAAAAAAAAACGAATCAAAATAAATTTGGTTTTCGAATTCGAGGTTCAGTTTTAAAAAAAAATGGATTAACAAAAAAATAAAATTTTTAACATATATATATATATATATATACATATATATATATACATACATACATATAAAGTAAGATCACTTGCTGCACCTCCAAATTGAAAAACCCTTCTTCCCTAGATGCGCTTCTTCTCACAGCTTCATACATACCTTTTTTTGTCTTTGCTACAAGTTTGGATATACACAAAATAGCAAAGATATCGATAGATCTTCTATCATCTCCAATTCAAGCCTTTTTGAGTAGATAATTTATTATTTATTTATCTATCAATGCATTTGTTTTTTTTTTTTTTTTGACGCAACTTAGTTTTCTAACTAGTAGTCCACAAAGTAAAAGAAACTCACTCTAAATAGAGATTTCGAAACTTTAATAGAATTAGTCATTTGTAAAAAAAAAATTAAAAAAAAATAAAATGATAAAAATCGAATTATCGAATACCGAAACCGAAATATTTCAAAACAGAATCGAAAAAACGAACAACATTTCAATTCGAGTTTCGGTTTTTTTTTTTTTCAAAGTTTGATTAACCAAAAATCATCTAAAATATTTCGAAATCACACCAAATAATAGAACAAACACTCCTAACAACGTATGGTTTTTCAATGGATTGCTCGATCCGGGTATGAAAGTATTTTAAGAGGACTACTTAATTTGGTCGAATTTTAGAGCAAAAAAAATCCTTACATTCCCTTCAAAAACCATGCAACTAAAATTTGATATTGGCAATTTTGACAAGTTGTTCCATAGACAAACCAACAACAATTGAGTTATTATTTTGGATGCAACTTACTTTTCCTAGCTAGTAGTCCATATAGTAGAAAGAAACTCACTCTAAATAGAGATTTCGAAACTTTGATAGAATCAATCATTTGTATAAAAATAAAAAATAAAAAAATAAAACAGGTAAAAACGGAATTACTAAAACTGAAATATTTCAAAATAGAATAGAAAAAAGAACAACATTTCGATTCGAGTTTCGGTTATTTTTTTTTAAGTTCGGTTAACCAAAAATAGTATAAAATATTCCCACAACATTTCGATTCGGTTTCGGTTATTATTTTTTTTTTAAGTTCGGTTAACCAAAAATATTATAAAATATTTCGAAACCAAACCGAATAATAAAACAAATACTCCTGTATGAAAGTATTTTAAGAGGACTACTTAGTTTGGACGAATTGTAGAGCAAAAAAACCTTACATCCCCTTGAAAAACCATGCAACTAAATTTTGATATTGGCAATTTGACAAGTTGTTCCATAGACAAACCAGCACCAATTGAGTCATTGAGAGGCTAAAAAATGAAGAGAGTATTAAGCATTGACGGAACAACAGGAGGAGTAGGAAGATTTTATTTAACTTTTTTTCTTGGCAAAATCAGTTTAGTGTCTTAGAATATCTTTTCTTCAAATACGAATTACATATATAGATGATTTTGAAATCAATTCAAATTAAATATTCTCCCTCCCATTTAGATACAATTGTTGATTTGATCAGTGTACTTTCTAGCTAACGAATTTTAATTTCCATCTCCTGAAAAACATTAATTTTCCAATAAAAATGTAATAATAAATCTAATTTTTGGTGGAACTAGTTCTATCTTTTAAGTTTTAATTTTCTAATGTTCCGCCACTGTTATCAGCTGCAAGAGCATGCTCCATTGGGATTATTAGAAAGGGCAAGACAGGGAAAAAGAGAGAGCTACAATTTTGGGTCTAATAAATCGAACAATTCATTCCATCGTGGATTCTCTTGGATCAATTGGTCTGCAATTACATTGCTAATTTGGCAACCTTAGAATTAGATAGAACTTTATCAAACATTTTACATACCCATGGAAAAATTAATGGAATGACCATTACACTTTGTATACCTAAAATCTAGTAGTACTGGGACCCCAGCAGCTTAAATTCATACTTTTCTCCAAAGATTTCTCCCTTCTCTTCATATTGGCCTTTCTGATCTCATTAGACAGCACTGCAGCTGCTGTTGTTGGTGATGAAGATCTAGAGGAAGAGGAAGAGGCCAAGATCTTTGATTGAGTAAATGATCTGATATTGCTCTTGGCATGTTGTTGTAGTGACCTTATAGTGTAATTCCACCTGCAGATACCTTGGTCCTTTAGTGCCTCCACTGCAAAAATACTAGCTGCCACAATCCAAGCTTTGCTTGCGGCAGAACTCATTTTGGTTTTTCACAGGTTTTGATTTCTGAGGTTGCCGGTGGGTGTAAAGAAAGTATTTCTTAGACAGAGTCGGAGAAGCAAAGAGAATTGATCAGTTCTTGTGTGTTAATGTGGTTTATAGCGAATGGGTGCTGACTGTTATATAGTGAGGGAGTTGGGCATGGTTTTTGACGAAAAACCAGAGGCGGATTAAACCATCAGTTGGGAACGCGACCCATGGTATTTTTTTTGTACGGTAAAACCGGAAAAATATACACTGACGCCAAGGACTCAAACCGTGTTTCATAATAGTAAACGGAAAAGCAAGAATATTTTATGATCCCCAACGTTTATGAGTTTTTCAAATATGTCCTAAAGTATTCAAAAACTTTACTCTTTTTATTCATTTCTTCAAGGTTTAATAGAAAATTTTACCCTCGTTCTATTATGATTTAAAATTTCAGGTCTTTAGTATTGGATTACATAATTTGAACCTCAAATTATTGGTTATGAAGAAAAATTGATCCAATTTTTATAATTTATAATTTATAAAATTAGAAAGGTCAACTCTTAATTATTTTTATTTTAATTTATAAAATATTTTTTTAAAGGCCTGAATTTGTGTATTTTTAATTATATTCTTTTACAATATTTTTTACTAAATACTTATAATATCCAATGAACATTAAAATGTTTATAATATAAATTATAATATTTTATAAGTTAAAATGAGCACAATTAAGAATTGAACCCTAATTTTATAAATTATAAAAAAAAAGGTTCAAAATTAGGGGGTTAAAAATATTTATTCAATATTTTTTATCTATAATTTACAAAATGTTTATAATATTTTATAACAAAAAAGGTTTTTAAAAAAAATTCAAGATTAGGAGGTTAAAAATAATTTTAAAATATTTTTTTTAAAAGTATAATTAATAGCAAAATGTTGAAACAATACTATTTTGGCATTGCAATATAGTGGTAATTAGAGAAATTTGATCAATTTTGCTTAACAATCTACTATTTTTTAAACTAAATCAACATCAAAATATGTTTAGTTTTTATTCGACTATTAGACTGTCTTTTAAGCCAAGCCAAAGTAAATATAGTACCACTAAAATATATATATATATATATATATATATATATATATATATATATATATATATATATATATATATATATATATATATATATATATATATATATTCTTTTATAAGAAAAATAAAATAAATTTGGTAATATGATGATAGTAATTTAACATATTAAAAAATTCAAAGTTCAATTAATTACATGCGTTGAAATTTAGATTGGGCAAAAGATAGTATAAAATTTTTGAACAATGAAAGATAAGTATGGCTCATGAACCTTTTTTATGGTTAGTTGAAAACATTGTAACTATAGTATCTTGACATTATGGGACGACGACAAAAAATTATTTCAGCACTCTATAAATTAATTAATTACTGAATGCTTACGAATGATATGGTATATTTAGAGGTTCAATATGTATTATTACCTTGAAAAGAAAGAAGAAACTAATATTGATTCAATTTGTAACATTACAAAATGTTGAGGATATTTACTTATTTTGCCGTAAAATTGTTAGTATTAACTATGAACAATAAATATGAATAGAGAATGAATTGTTTGATTCATATTATATTCTAAAACGGGGACTAAATTGAAATTATTTAAATTTATCAGATTGAACCCAATGCTCTCTTTATGAATTGTTAGTGGTTCACAAATGGAAGGTATTAAACTTTTAATGCTTTCAAATAAACAAAAACATAGAAAATGCTTTATGAATTGACATGTCAAAAATATTGTCGTGGCTTAGATGCGTTATTATCGAAGACAAAAATGCTCCCTTTATTTCTGCTGTTTGCTTCCATTTATGTTATTATTTACATATCTAATTTATAAAATGTGCCATCGTTTAATATTCAAGTACAATGGAATTAGACTCATCATATCCATCCAAAATTGACTAAACAACGGTTTGCTTTGCCTTCATGATTCAACTTTTTATTAACCGACTTTTAATTTCATGTATAACAAGCCACGAAACTATGCTTTCATCCTAATTAAGGTCGTAAAAGTAGCATGTTTTTTATTTTTCACAAATAAGTAGCTTAATGCATTATCTGCAAAACATTTCTATTCAATAAAAATGCTCAATGTCAATTGATATACTCGAATAAATGATCTTACAATACGTTTCATTTTATGTCATCAAAAAATTACCATGCTCTCAACATCGTCATAAACAAGATTACTCGACCCATCACCAAAGATCGTATGGCTCATTAAAACCCAAGGCAACTAGTACTAACAAGCGGGCTAAATAGAACTCTCTTTTCCATTTCTAAGACAAAAAGAACAAGCATTTAAAGAAGGCATGGCTTCGTTAAAAAACTATCACATCATGACTAAACATGATTCCACACGTACTAATAATTAAAGGCATTCATCTAAAGAGATCTTGAGTCAACAAGTGGATGTCAAAAATTGTTATACACAAGGTAAAAAGACCAACCTATCTTTGACCCTATGCAAATTTATCATTTTCTCCGCTATAAAAAGATTAACGACCTAAGTCTTATAGATTCTACTTACTAAACTCTAAAACTTATATAGTAACATATATCTTTTCCTAACCAAGAATAAAATAATATTAGATCTAATTAGGCTAAAAATTTCTCTCTCGTATGTTAACTTATCCATAAGATGATCTTCCAAACACTAAAAGATGAATTGTTTTGCCGATACACATTAACAAACCAATACTTTATAAGTTATATCAATCACACAATCAGTTTAGATCGAAGTCATCTAACGAGTTAATAATTATTCAAGGATCACAACCTCATTAGTTATGATGTATATGAGAAACTAAGAAAAAAAGTCATTCTTAAACTACTCTATTTCTCTATTTTCAAGCCATTTCGTGGCTAATAATCACAAAACTCCATCACATTCAACATTGTTCTATTTCTCTATTTTCAAGCTTTTTTATGGTTGATAATTAGGAAACTCCATCACATTTAACACCATTCAACTTTTCTAGTCCTAGTATTCTACCGATCGACGTACTTATAACTATAACGATACATTGAATTGTTAATGGAGGCATATATATCGACTCAATAGCAAATAAAATCTCCGACCACTCCATTATCAACACTTCAAATGCAACAAAAACCTTTGCATATACAACCTTTAAAGGCTTTAGCCCTACCACAAGTTCAGCTACACACAAATCTCTCATGCTAAAATAAGCCAACTTAATACTTGGCCAAAGAAGAAACGTCCAAACATTATATAAAAAAAAAGCTGAGAGAAAGAAATGTTGTTATTTTCTAGAACCTCAAAGGAATCACTCTCATCATCATGCCAAAGAACCAATCAACCAAAGCTCTTAAAGGGAAAAGAGAAAGATTATATAACCGAATATCATCATAGCACTAATAGTAAACACAATATCGGTAGAAATAGACACAAGAACCAACACTAAGATAGCTTCTCCTCCTTTCAAACTTCCTCGGTGAGTCCTAAACCCAAATGCCAATAAGAAGATATGAGACTTATATTCATCGTTAAGATTGAGTCGAACCACCATAACCATATGCTCCATGCCTCTCCACTTTCCCTCACATCTTGACTCGCCAACCTCCTAAAAGAATTCTCGACTAGAAAGATGAATTTCAACATGTATTATGGCATACAAAAAAAAAAAAAAAAAAACTTGAGAGCATGTCTAAAATGTTTAGAAAAATCTTGAATTAGTTATAAAAAGCTTAAACGTCATGTGTAAAGTGCTCTCTACCACTTTCTTTAAAGTGGTATAACAACTTGGACCCTAAGTCGGTCCTTAGTTTTGAACATTTGTGCTTCAAACCGGTGACTTATTTTTCCACTAGTATTCTTGCTAAAAGAAGCTTGAAAGATTTATTCTCAATCTCTTAGAGAAAGGGAGAGAGCATCCGGACTTACATTTCCCTCTTCTAAGAAGTAATGTTAAAGGTTGATGGCTCGTTGGAACCTATAATAATTAAAGCCCTCATATCGGGGTCGGTGACACTAATTTATGGAAGAAAATCTATGCTCTCTATGATAAAAAATCTCTACCAAGTCAAGAAAGTAGTAGAAAATCATATCTTAATAGAGGAAGCAATAACCAAAAGGTAAACGGACCCACACTTTCAAAAACCAATAAAGGAAGCTAAAAAGGAAAGGTCCGCATCCACCTACTGCAACGAAAAAAAAAATCTCAAAAGGCTTGGGTATAGTTGTTTAGTCCTCTCAAAACTCCAAACAACTCTTCCGAGTGTCTCCCAAATAGAGGTCTTTGTTGATATACAAGAAAAGAAATAAGTTCGTTGTTTATCTCCAATGAAAGGTCCTTCATAAATCTACAATTAAAAGAAGTACTATCTCTATCACTAGGACGTTGGACAAGACACACAAAAAAAATATTTCTTAAAAAAAAATAAATAAAAAAGGTTAATAGTTGAGGATAAATTAAGCGAGTTCATCAAGATAGAATGACTTAAACCAAACCAAGTCAATCCTAGGTAAAATTCTTATAAGAAAGACTACTACTAGATCAACGTGATTTTAGGAGGACCAATGGCTAAAAAGAGTCCAACAAAAAGAAAAAGGAAGCTCTCTTGGTCTTCGCTATCATGAGTTCATTTCCTTCACTTGTATCTACATAAAGGGAATAACTTTCTCCCATAATGACGCTTGAGTAATTTTAACGATGGTCTTGAACCATAAAGTCCATCATTTTTTGGTAGACCTTGGTAGCACCATAATGTTTTCTTAAGAGAAGCCTCTAAATAAATAAAGATAGACCAATCAAAGGTCCAACTAGTTGAAACTCTTTTGAAAAGGATAAGATGAGGGCAAGTCTTGGTAAAGGGTGCAATTCAAATTTCGGTGACCATAGGTGTCTTTTCTCGAAGTGTATAGATACATCCCATATTCATTGTCATATAACCGAATTTGGCGTA